GATGTTTCAGGAGAATGCTGCAGGGAGCGTTCGCGCCTTCAGCACTAGTATGTTTCAGAGCTGTGGCAACGTCACTGTTTGCGCACAAAGATCAATCAACATAGCGAACAAAAACGATCCATCAAGTGGAGGAGTGAGTGCGGAGAGGCAGGTCTAAACATATATATGCACCTGTGACTCAAATAAGGAGGTTCAGAAAAATAGATGAGTGGATTATGTGTTGTTTGTGAATAAGCGATTAATTTGTTTGCAAAAAACCCCCTGAAAGTATCGATCACCTTTATTGATCACCAGCCTCAGTTGTTGTTAACTGATGTTTGAAAGGCTGATTTAAAGAACTCCATTTCATCACTTGTACATCAGTCAAAAAACTTAAAGGGGTCCTATTATGCTTTTTACTGAATTACCCCAACGAGGGACAGTAAAGAACATTACTAGTCTATTCTTAGTTTCTTAGGTAAGTACTGAGTTTTAAATTTTTTTTTTGTCTTGGCTCTGTATGATGTCATAGAGTGCGTTGTACCTAGAATGGTCATCATCATCGTCATAAGTGCCACTCAGCCTCCATTTACACTTGGCAGCCAATCAGGAGAAAGTAGCTTTGAGAGGAGGACAGTGGATGAGCTGAGGGGCTGTGTCACAGCCTGGTATAAGATACTTAAGGATTATTTAGACTTGTGAATCACGCAAAGTACTCTACGAATAAAATGTGATGCTGGGAATGAGCAGAATTGTTCTCCTTTAAGAAGCTAAAACATGCCACAGAGGATATTTGTCTGATTAGTGGCAGAGAGGTAAAGCAGGTATTCTGCCTCCTAATAAAGGTGTTTGAGGACGCCGTGCCTTTAAGGTTATTGAAATGTGCAGCAATGAAAGTCAGGCTACAATTTCCTGCTGCATTTAGTGAGTATGGCTGCAGGATGAAACTTCAGTCTTTGTCTTTGAGGAGACGGTGCGGCGCTCCACCTGTTTATTAGATAAACGCAGCAATCAGCTGAGCTCTGGTAGATAAGCCTCTCCCTCACTCCCTCGCTTACTGTCGCCTAAATCGCATCATCTCTGCTGTATTGCTGTGACCTCGAGGCATTAAGGAGCCATTCTCAAGCGTTTAGCGTTCGCTCTTATGCAGAGTGACTCGCAGATGGGATGCAGCGAGCTGTCGGTGGATGATAGGAACGTCAAAGGACGGCCGCGTTAACCGCAGAGCTCTCAAAGTCCAGCTCTCCTGCAGTCCCTGAACTAACTGTTAAAGTGCTGTAGAATGAAGCTGTGAATGTTTCTGGTGTGTTTAAGGACCTCTTGAGATCACGCTGTGAGCTGTGGCTCCAGTCTCAGGTGTTAAAAGTAAAACGCTGTGACCAGGAGAAACAAAGAGATTAAAAATGAGGGGATGTCCACACACTCGTTCATGTTTAATCACCAAAGAGCTGCTCAGGTGTGAAACCAGCAGCAGCACATTTCCTTCGTCTTGCTAAATATTTCACATGGTATCAAAGCTTTTGTTCATTTTTCTCTTTTCTTTTTTGTATTGAATATTTATCAGGAGCTGGTGAGGGTGATTGTTGCGTTTCACTTCTAAATTCTTGCAGATTTGGGGGTTTTGTAAAATGCAATATTGCAGTTTTTTTCTCATTAACAACGAAGGCCTAGATTCTGCGTGTGCATGAACACAACAACAACAACAACAACAACGTGCATCTGTGGCCTGAAGCCGTACATTTCAGGTCAGTGTAGCCTTGTTGTTTTTTTGTATCTGCAGTGCCTCACGCGGTCTCTTTCCCAGGGATGTTGATGAATAATTAATGAGTATTTACACTATTATGTGTGATTAAGTTGATCAGGCGTGATGAATGAAGCATTGCTGTGGAGGAGAGTTTCCAATCAGGATGGGATGCAAAGTTCTTCTTATTGTACTCCATAGATTTAGGTGTTTATAGGTCCAGCCAGAGTCCAGCGT